CCATATGGATCTTTTTGCACCATCTAGAACTGCAAGTTTAGGTGGAAAACATTATACTTTTGTTATAGTTGATGATTTTTCTAGATACATTGGGGTCATATTTTTGAGCCAAAAAGATGAAGTACTAAAATCTTTTAAGAATTTTTGTAAGAAATTCCAAAATGAGAAAGGATATTTTATTCTATAATTTCAATTAGGAGTGACCATGGTGGAGAATTTGATAATGTCGCTTTTGATGATTTTTGTAATGAAAATGGATATGAACATAATTTCTCGGCTCCTAGAACTCCTCAACAAAATGGTGTAGTAGAAAGTAAGAATCGCACATTGCAAGAAATGGCTAGAACCATGCTAAATGAAAACAATCTACCAAAATATTTTTGGGCCGAAGCCGTCAACACCGCTTGCTACATTATTAATAGAGTTTTAGTTAGTCGAAAGAAAACTAAAACTCCTTATGAACTTTGGAGATACAAAATTCCTAATATTAGTTATTTCAATATTTTTGGTTGCAAATGTTTCATTTTAAACACTAAAGATAATTTGGAAAAATTCGACTCAAAATCCGATATTGGTATTTTCCTAGGATATTCATCGACTAGCAAAACTTATAGAGTATTCAACAAAAGAACTCTAGTCGTTGGAGAATTCGTACATGTCTCATTTGATGAAACTAACATCCTTGATCGTGAGAAAAGTATTGAAGATGATGTAGGTTTGGAGAATTCATTCAAACAAATGAATATTAAAGATCAAAATCAAGGAGCTCAAAATGAAAGTCAAGAGCCAAATGATGAAGAAAGCAAAGAAAAATCAACCGAGGCTCAAAACGACTCTACACTACGAAATGAATGGAGGTTCGTCCCATCTCATCCAAAGGAATTGATAATAGGTGATCTTTGTAAAGATATTACTACTACAAATTCTCTTAGAAATCATCTTGCAAGCTGTGCTTTTCTTTCTCAAATTGAACCTAAGGATTTCAAAGAAGCTGAGTTTGAAGAATTTTGGGTTCTAGTAATGCAAGAAGAGCTAAATCAATTTGAGAGAAATAATGTTTGGAATTTAGTTGCTAGACCTAATAATCAAACCATGATTGGAACTAAATGGGTATTTAGAAACAAACGAGATGAAGATGGAAACATTGTGCATAACAAGGCTAGATTAGTGGCCCAAGGTTACATCAAAAGGAAAGAATAGATTTTGAAGAAACTTTTGCACCGGTAGCTAGATTAGAATCCATTCGTATGCTTATTGCATTTGCTTGCTACAAAGGTTTTACATTATACTAAATGGATGTCAAAAGTGCATTTTTAAATGGATATATTCAAGAAGAGGTCTTTGTTGAACAACCTCCCGATTTCAAAGATCACAAATATCCAAATCATGTTTTCAAACTTAGAAAAGCACTTTATGGCCTAAAACAAGCTCCTAGGGCTTGGTATGAACGTTTGAGTAAATTTTTAATTTCAAATGGTTTTTCTGTTGGAAAGGCCGATACCACACTTTTTGTAAAAAATGATCAGAATGACATGCTTATCGTTCAAATTTATGTGGATGATATTATATTTGGTGCCACTAACATATGTCTTTGTGAAGAATTCTCTAAAAGTATGAGCAAGGAATTTGAAATGAGTATGATGGGAGAATTAAAATTCTTCCTCAGTTTGCAAATTAAACAAACTTGTAATGGAATCTTCATAAATCAAAGCAAGTATTTGCTAGAGATGCTCAAAAAATTCGACATGGATGGGCTAAAATCAATGAACACTCCCATGAGTTTAACAATTAAGCTCGACAAAGATGACCAAGGTACTCCTATTGATGTGACTAAATATCGAGGTATGATCGGATCTCTTCTTTATTTAACCGCTAGTAGACTCGATATTAAGTTTAGTGTTTATCTATGTGCTAGATTTCAATCTAATCCTAAAGAATCGCACCTCAAAGCCGTAAAAATAATTTTTAGATATCTCAGTAGAACTAAAACGTTAGGTCTTTGGTATCCAAAAGGAACTCACATTGACTTACTTAGCTATACGGATGCCGATTGGGCTGGTTGCACTATTGATCGCAAGAGTACTAGCGGAACATGTCACTTCTTAGGCTTCGCACTAGTTTCATGGTTTAGTAAGAAATAAAATTCTGTTGCTTTATCCACAGCCGAAGCCGAATATATTTCCGTTGCTAGTTGTTGTGCACAAGTATTATGGATGAAACAGACACTTAAGGATTATCATTTGTCTTTTGATCTTGTAACTATTATGTGTGATAATACTAGTGCCATAAATTTGTATAAAAATCCTATATTGCACTCACGAGCAAAACACATTGAATTAGACATCATTTTCTTAGAAATCATGCTCAAAAAGGTGACATTGCTTTAGAATTTGTCAATACAGAAAATCAATTGGCTGATATCTTCACTAAACCTCTCGCTCTTGACCTTTTCACACACATTCGTAGAGGTTTAGGAATTGTTGAAGAAATTGAAATAAAAAATTGATGTTGTGACTTTTTGCTCTTTTGTTTATATAAAAAAGGGTTTTTGGACGAGTTTATCGGACGCGTCTAAAACACACCGGACAATTATAACGGACCGTCCTCTAAATCATCCGGTTCAACAGAAATTTTTTTTGCTATACCGGACGCCCGATAGACTGAATCTGACATTTTAAAATCGCAAACATGATCATTTTCTTCCCATTTTTTTCTTTCCTTCTTCGTCTCCTTCACATTCTTCACTACTCTCCACTCCAAATTCCTCATTCCACTATTCTAATTCTTCATTTTTTACGTAACTCACTTCCTTTACTCTTGTTTCCACATCAAAAATTTGAAAAAGGGCAAAATATCTCTCATTTCCCCAATCTCGTGTCCTAACTCTCGTTTTTATATATTTTGCTTCAATTCAAACAATGTCGAGAACAAAGCAAGCTGGAAAAAAGGCAAAAACTACAGAACATCAGCCTCCAACGCCCTCCTCCCACAAATAAACGGATTTCGAACCGGAAGAGGCGGTGAACCCATTTAAAAAATCTCCCATTCTACTAGGTAAAAATGTTGATTTTTCAGATTTTTCTATTGAAGCATCTGCTTTTCACATTCAAGAATTCTTTGAAAAAATGGGGTGGATTTCGGTATGTTCGTTGGAAGAAAATGCTTACCCTCAACTCATGAAAACCTTTTACACAAAAATGGTTATTACACCATGTTCTGATAGTATCTCCTGTCTAATTAAAAATATAAGGATCATCGTTACTGAAGCTCTTATTCGGGAAATTCTTAGGCTTAAACCATGTGATATGCAAGTTTTTGTTCATAAATCTCACCCGACCTTAGAAGGTTATAACCCAAGTGACGCATGTCGTCGTGTGACGGGGAAAGATTTTGAAAACATCACAAAAGTTAGTGCTAATCAACTCACTCCATCTTGCAAAGTATTGTAAAATATCATCGCAAATATTATCTTACCTAGAAAATGGCATCGAGATGAGGTTAATTACTTTGATTTGTTCATTCTCGATTCATTTCTCATTGGCCTTCGGTTAGTTTTCCCAACAATTATTTTAGGTCTTATGAAACTTATCCACACTTATTGTTATTCCAAAGCTTTGTCCTATGGTATGCTTTTAACAATAATTTTCAAACACTTCAATGTCTCTCTTGAGGGTGAAGCCGTCATCAAACTTCGTCCCACCGATACAATCAATATTCAAACCCTCAAGCGTAAGAAAATCTTTAAAACTCAAGGACAATGGGTGGCTTACACTAAAGGGTTCGACCCCACCTTAGGTCCTTCCACATTACTGTTTGAGGACGAAGAAGACGTCCCATTACTCTCACATCCACCGCCGATTAGTAATTCTTCATCTTCTTCGCGAGGATTCACTTTTACCGAGGATCAGTATAATTTACTCATCGGGCGTCTTGACTCTCTCATGACTTTAGTTGATGGGCTTAGTGGTGTTCTTCAGAATGTCCAGTCACAACAGGCAATGATCCAGGCTCGGCAGGATGCCATTCTTGCATAGCAGGCTGAAATGCAAGCTCAGCAAAATGCGTTTTATGCTCACTTTTACGCACATTTTCCTCCACCACCTCCTCCGGAGCCTTAGCTTTTAGTTTTATCATTTATCTTATGCATCTTTTTTGTACTCCCAAACTCATTATGACTCTATCTTTTGGCATTTTGATTATGATATTATGAACTTATGTCTCTTCTGTTGTTTGTCAATTTTTTGATTATGCCAAACGGGGGAAAATTATGAGATGATATATATAAATAATATGCATGAATTATTATATGACATGAATAATATGCATGATTTATTATATAAGATGATATGCATGTTTATATGAGATGATATACATATGAGACGATATACATAATAGGAATGCTTAAGTAAGGGGAGAATACACGCGTAAAAGATAGGGGGAATTATTTCGTTACTAATCATTTTTTTTACTTATTAAATCTCCATCATCTCTTGTTTGTCATAATCAAAAAGGGGAAAATTGTTGTCCTACAGTTGACTTCTCGTTTGGATTATAACAAACAAATTTTATTTAACAATTGTATTTGAGTAATTATAGAAGTTTATGACAAGCATGGACAAAATGATACTTTCGAAGCTCTCGCAAAATTGGACAAAGTAGAAATCGAGCTACACATCAAGACAACGAGCACTTCATCAAGTCAAACAAAGAAGAAATTAAAAGAAAATAGATTTAGACACCTTGATTTCAAATGTTAAGGTAAAACACTTTAGTATTTGACATATACGTCATTTGAAGCTCGAGAAACGTTTCTTCGCATGACAAACACGATTTTTGTATAAAGAACTCTTTTAAAAGCATGAACCTATTATATACTTTAAGAAATGTCAAAAAGTCCGTAAAACATGTTAGAAGCATCCTCCATGAAATTACATCTTGTTAAATTATTTAAAGAAAGAAAATTTTCAAACACGAGCTGATCTAGAGGACGCATCCGATAGCTAGAGGATGCATTCGGTAGGTCTAACGAATGAGTTCGGTAATTCTAGTAGACATCCGATATGACAGGTTTGTCCAACGGTCAAGAAACTGAACGTTCTGACTTCTGAAGAAACATTGGGAAGGAATGTTCTATGAGGTTGAGAAAAAGGTTTATAGGAAAGATAATTGGATAGAGGATAAGTAGAGTTGTTGACAGGGGGCACTCGATTGGCTAGGAGATTACAATGAAATTCATGAAGATAAGATGGAGGTTTGCTCACCCTAGTAGTTTGTCTAGGGGCAAAGTGAAAGGTTTGACTGAAATCAGAAGTTTGAGCATCTTTATTATGATCAAAAGAAGAGTTGGAAAAGGGTTCAATGGTAGGCAAATGAATACTTTCCATTGAGATATCATTGCCAACAGAAGTTGATGGTTCTGAGGTTGAATGATGGATATACGAATTAGGCATGATGTGTGGTAAGACAACATCAGCGAAGGAGTCTATCAACTCTGATGTAGAATCTAAAGAGTGGAAAGGAAAGTGATTTTCATGAAAAATCACATCCTTGGAAACAATAAAAGATTTTGAAGAAACGTCATAAAGTTTGTATCCTTTGATGACTGGAGGATAACCAAAAAAGACACATGCTTTAGCTCTATGATAGAATTTATTCATGTGAGATGGAACTGTGGATGTGAAGCAAAGACTTCCAAATACCCTGAGTGAACTATAGTCAAAAGAGGAACCATACAGCAAGGAAAATGGAGTCATGTTTTTGAGGATTTTAGAGGGAGTCCTATTGATTAGAAAAGTGGCAGTTAAAATACAGTCTCCCCAAAATTGAATAGGCACCCTAGACTGAAAGAAGAGTGCTCGTGCCACACTAAGAAGGTGCTGATGCTTCCTTTCAACCATCAAATTTTGTTCAAGATGTTCAACACAAGAGAATTGACGAACAATGTCCTTAACTGCAAACAGTTCTGTGAACTTTAACTCTTGGGCATTATTAGACCTAAAGGTCTTAATAACTTTGTGAAATTGATTTTCAATTAGAGCCAAAAACTTAGAAATTATAAATGTTGCATCTAATTTATTTTTCATCAAATAAATCTAAGTAAATCTTGTACAGTCATCCACCAAAGTGAGAAAAAACCTATGGCCAGCATGTGCAGAAGTATGATACGGTCCCCTAATATCGCAATGAATCAAATCAAAAGCATTGTTTGATAGATGATTATTCGATACAAATGGGAGCCTCCTTTGTTTAGCCAAAGGACAAACATAACAAGGAGTTGAATTGTCCCTCCTATAGTGAGTACAATCAATATGTAATAGACTCTTCAACATGTCTAATTTCTGATAGGACAGATGCCCGAGGCTATTATGCCACACTTGGCTAGTTACATTATTTGCTACTGAATATGATGATTGACAAGCATTATTATGAACCGAAGTCAATAACATAGAGGCTTGCCTTCCTTTCACCCTTGCCAATCATCCTCGATGTGGTCAAGTCCTGAACCATGCAACAATTAGTGAGGAACTGGACACATAATGAAGTATTCCTTGTTAGGACACTCACCAATACTGAGGAATATATAGAACATCGGTGAGTATTAAATCACATGAAATTTTCACATTCCCAATCAACCGTACAGGAACTTGGACATGGTTTGGTAGTATGACAAATGCATTTTCAATTGGCCTCAATATGTCAAAAGCTGAATGGTCAGAACATAAGTGACTCGTGGCACCTGAATCTACCACCCAATGTCTAGATGAATTGAAAGACGGATTAATAGAGATTGAAAAGCAGGTACCTGATTCCTTACCTGAGCTGGTTCCTGTCTCTAAGTCCAGTTTTACAGCCTTAAGATGAAAGCTCAACATGCTCATTAGATGTTGATATTGAGTAGGGTTGAGTGTCTGCATAAAGCTACCAACACTTCCATCAATGTCTTACTTCTGATCCATATTTTGGTCCATCACAGCAACACGTTTAGAAATCTAATTAACCACAGCTTGATTATTGGGACCAGATTCTATCTAGGCTTGTACCCTTGTGGATAGACATGGAGCTTGTAACATCTATCCATCGCATGACCACTGTATCCACAATATGTAGAGATTGGTCTCTCTTTTTGCATTCTATTGTGTTGTTGTCCTGCAATCTTTTTAACATCATTTTGGATCATCCTTTTTGGATTATTTTGAACATAAAAGCCATGGAACTGTTAGTTCCTGCTGCATCATTCACCATGCTTATTTTCCTTTGATTCTCTTCTTGAGACACCGACGCAAACACTTTATTGATCAGTGGAATATGATCCATTGACAATATTTGCCCCCTAGTGTGAGCAAATGTTTCATGTAGTCCCATTAAAAAGGATATAACATACTCTGTTTGGTGATGTTCAATAATTCTCTTACTTCCTCCACAATCACACTTACCATAAGAACAGGTAGGTCTATAATTGCTGAGTTCTTTCCAAATAGTCTTCAATTTGGTAAAAAAAGTGTTGACCCCAAAAAATATTGCCAACAGATATCGGATCCACCCGCGCACACGTGAGCGAAGGTTATATACTCTAAGACACGTAGACGATCTAGAACGAACGGATCAGGGGCGTGGGAGTAGCTCAACGACACAGGACGAGAACGTTTGAAATCCGACGGGATGTTTGTAATCCGATTGTACAATAATTACCAATTGGAGCTCATGAATGTGCATATAAATATGTATGAACTCGTATTGTGTTGCAAGATAATGTGAAAGAGAGAGTAAAGTGTGGTTTCTTGTATTGATTCTTAAATTAGCTCTTTAATGTTACACAAGGGAAGTATTTATAGTGTTACATGTGAAATGGCAGCCTTTGGATGAGGTGGCCCATGGCCTCATCTCTTTAATCCAAACATCCAATCCTAGGCATCATCCTTGACTTGCTAGCTTGCTGCGCATTTATTGCTTATGCAGAACCCCCATGCTTATGACAAGACTTGACATGTACACTTATGAAAAATGTTCCATCAATCATTCACATAAGATCTTTATGTAGAAGATCTCTTGGGAGAAGTGATCGTGGAAGACATTCCTTCATGATTCGGAGGCTTCTGCCACTTACGTAATACTTCTGCTTTAGGGATTCAGCTATCTTCACAGGCCTCTGTCTGTGGGCCTCAGCCATACATGCCACCTCTGCTAGAGTGCCACGTGGTTTGGATTGAATGGGCCATAGGCCCAAGCAGGTTGGCCAAGTATGACAACACGTAACAATAGTCCTCCAAGTCCAAGTATAGTCATTTATGTAATACGTGGACTTTAATGAAGTAAAACCAGTGGGTTGGGTAAAAATTGAAAGAATTTTTTGAACCCCAAATAATAGTCTCCCAAGTCCAAGTATAGATATTTATATCATGGTTGGAGTTAGAAATGTGCTGTTGTAGGTGAATGATGAAGAAGCTGAAGTGGTGTAATGAACTGAATGTGCGAGGCTTGTGAAAACTGAATGTTGAAGATGAAGCCAAGGTGGTTGGGAAACCGAACCTATGAGGCTTGATGGCTGAATATTGAAGATGAAGTTGAGATGGTTGGGAAACCGAACCTGCGAGGCTTGATGGCTAAATGTTGAAGATGTAGCCGAGGTGGTTGGGAAATCGAACCTGTGGGGGCTTGATGGCTGAATATTGAAGATGAAGCCGATGTGGTTGGGAAATTGAACCTATGCCGCTTGATGGCTGAATGTTGAAGAAGAAGTTGAGGTGGTTGAGAAATCGAACCTACGAGGCTTGATGGCTGAATGTTGAAGACAGAGCCCAAGTGGTTGGGAAACCGAACCTGCAAGGATTGATGGCTGAATATTGAAGACGAAGCCGAGGTAGTTGGGCAATCGAACCTACGAGGCTTGATGGCTGAATGTTGAAGATGAAGCCGAGCTGGTTGAGAAACCGAACCTGCGACACTTGATGGCTGAACTGTGAGACTTGATGGCTGAACGTTGAAGATGAAGCTGAGGTGGTTGAGAAATCGAACCTGTGAGACTTGATGGCTGAACGTTGAAGATGAAGCTGAGGTGGTTGAGAAATCGAACCTGCGAAGCTGATGGCTGAAGGTTGAAGACGAAGCCGAGGTGGTTGAGAAACCGAACCTACGAGGCTTGATGGTTGAATGTTGAAGACGAAGCTGAGGTTCATTGACAATAATTGTTCCTTGGCAGCTGTGCCAATGATTTGATGTTTTGCGCATGTTTTCGAGGAAAGGTGGCTGAACCGTTGCAACTTCCAAGGCGCCTACAGCCGTCGAATTAAAATCGTAATTATTAGAACAGCTGGAGCTTCTAGAAGCAGGCGTATTGGATGAGGTGCGTGGGAGACACGCTTAAATCTGAGGCGTAGGTTTGAAAAACCATTTGAATTCTACGCCTCAGATTTGATTTAAAATGAAGGGTCCAGATTGAATGAGCTTCGATCCGATGGAGGGGGTTCGTCCTGGCCCTTTATAAAAGGCGAGAGAACTCCCTCTTTTTGGATTTTCCAGCACTTGCAATTTGATTTCTTCTCTTAGAGCTTAAACATTCCGACATTGAGGCTATCCGATCACTGCTTTTTCGACACTTTCTGTTTTCGTAGTTTTTCAGTAGGTATTTTCACATAAAATCCTCTTTTTATTGCGTTCTTAGTCATTTCTGAGATAGAGTCCACTTCGGGTAGGGAGTTGGTCACTATAGCGTCATTGGGCCATGGGGTAAGTCACATGAAGGATTCCGAGGTGGATAGGTATGCTATGACCAAGGAGCCAGTAGACTATAGCAAAGAGTGGGAGGCATCTAGGGTGCCTTCAAATATGACAGGGAAGAGGCCGGGGGAGATTAGAGAGAGGTACTGTGTGCCTCACTATGTGGAAATGTTAGTTCCCAAAGCCCATGAGCGGGCCTGTTATCCACGGCCCGGTTGTGTGGCGGTGAGTGAATACATGTTTAAGGTAGGTATGCGTCTTCCTCTACACCCCTTCTTTAGGGCGGTGCTGAGGAACTTCATGTTGTCGCTGACCCAGGTTCTGCCAAACGGGTGGAGCCAGTTGGTCGGCACGTACTTTCTGTGGAAGGAAGTATCACTTGGAGAGGACATGCCTCTCCACGTCTTCATGACCCTGTTTCAACCTAGGGTAATAGGGAAGGAGTCTAGGGGGTGGTATTACCTAACTCCTTGGGGGGCTCATGCACCATTTGTGGTGGGACTGCCTTCTTCCATCAAGGGGTGGAAGGAGTCGTGGTTCTGGGTGCGAGGCAGGTGGTAGGCAGTGGAGGGGGACAAAGCCCTGGCTTGCACAGTACCGACCCAGTACTACGAAACTCGTGAGTCTCCCAGCCCAAGTTTGTAATCTGTATTAAAAAATTTATTGTAATCTGTAGTAAACTGTTAAGGCTTCCTTTGCAGATAGTAGTACGAGGTTCGAATTGAGCAGGGAGGAGTTTGAAGTGATAGAGGCCATTTACAAGAGACCTCTGAAGCTTCGTCATTTCGAACACCTCATCAATAGAAGTCGCTATTTCCTTAATTTTAAACTAATAGCCTCCAACGGTACGAAGCTCCCATACTTGTATGTTTTTTGTGTTATCACTTTGATATTGACGTACTGTGTTCTGCAAATAAGTTTAAGAGGAAGGAGTACCCAGCTCCTGATATGGCGTCCATACTTAAGGTAACCTCGACTGTGAAGGCGAGGACTCTGAAGCCGAGGTCAAGTGGCGCCAAGGAGGTCCGAGGTAGAGTAGAGCGTCTCTCCAAGGACAGCGCATCACGAGCTTCTGAAGAGGGGACCCCCCAGAGGCCAAAAAAGTCCAAGGAGCCTCGGGAGAAGGAAAAAGTCCCTAAGGAGCCAAAGAAAAGGAAGATGGTGCACGTCTCCAGCTCGTCCGGCAAGTTTGGGACTTCTGTGTCCCATGAAGGCAAAGAAGCCGGGCAGCCGAAACTACTGAAAGCCGCCTTGAAAGCGGTTAAGATCGAAATGGTAAGGCGTGCCGAGGCTGAAGAGGTGAGGGAAGAGGCTGCAAGGAAGCAAGCTGAAGTGGTCGAGGAGGAGGCTGCCAAACAGAGGCCTGCTCGAGTGCAAGGAAAGTCCCCGAGCTTCCTTGCCGGAAGAAAGGAGCCTCTGGCCCCAGCTTTAGTGGAGGCCCTGCCACCTGAGATTCGAGGTGCTATTGAAAGTTTTTATAAATTTTGGATGGATCGATGGCAGCTTCACGCCTCTGCCTGTGATGCCACGGACTTGATGAAGGCCCTTGTGAGCGAAAATGTTAGGACTTTTGGCCTCGCACTGGAGTGCAGGGAGGCCCTTACTGACTTTCAGACGAGGATCCAGTCCTCAGAGAGGAAGACGGCCTCCCTTGCAGAGAAACTGAAGGCAGCTAGGGCCGAGGCTGAGAAAGCTAGGGCCTAAAAACTTAAAGAATCGGCCAAGCTGGAGTCTCTCTTGGCTCATATAGAGGTATTGAAAAAGGAAGTTTATGAGTCTCAGTGCGAGGTAGCTTCCTTGACTAAGAAGGTGGAGGTTTCCAATGACCACCAGAAGGTGACAGCCGAAGCCTTGGAGAAGGCTAACAGGGAGCTGACAGGGGCCCAAGATGCATACAAGTTCATCAAGGGCTAAATTAAGTGGTACGTCGATGATGCAACCCATGCTAGGGAGGAAGCCCAAAATGCAAGGAAAGAGGCAATGAAAGACTACATTGCCAACTTCCAAAATACCGAGGAGTACAAGAGCTTCAACACTTACTGGAGGAACTTTGCTTATGCCGAAGTGATGGAGCAGGCTGAGGAGTTGTATCCCAATCAGGATCTATCACAACTCAGGTTAAACTGGAGTCTGTCTTGGCTCAGATAGAGGCATTGAAGAAGGAAGTTTATGAGTCCCAGTGCGAGGTAGCCTCCTTGACTAAGAAGGTGGAGGTTTCCAATGACCACCAGAAGGTGCCATCCGAAGCCTTGGAGAAAGCTGACAGGGAGCTGGCAGGGCCCCAAGATGCATACAAGTTCATCGAGGGCCAAATTAAGTGGTACGTCGATGATGCAACCCATGCTAGGGAAGAAGCCCAAAATTCAAGGGAGGAGGCAGTGAAAGACTACATTGCCAACTTCCACAATACCGATGAGTACAAGAGCTTCAGCACTTACTAGATGAACTTTGTTTATGCCGAAG